TGTTGTCCAATATTTCCTCTGTAACTAACTAGCTATCCAGCCAAAGACTTTGGAAGAGTTAGACCCAGCCCTGGGTCTTGAGAATATATTTATATTATATTATTGTCTCGAACAAGAGACCAAGGAGCAGCATCATGGCCCGCTGCGGGCAGGAAATGCCTTTTGACGTCAGCTGCCATTGAGCCAGACATGATTGGCCCTGGGCGGTTTCTTCTCAATATTGATCCATGCTGAGCCAGGTCTTTGCAGTCGGTCTTTCCGATCAAACGGTCGCAGCCCTGCCAGCCCTACCAATAGGGTCTACCGGAAGCCGTAGCCGAGAGAGCGGTCTGCCGGTCTCCGAAGGCCCAGAAGAAAGGGTTGATAGATATTGATATCATGGCAGTGCAGTCGAGATGAAATAGCAACGGGGCACCTCTTAGAGACACCAGAGCCGAGGCACAAGTCAGGTGATTGGAGTTTTACCTCCTAATAAGGGGCTTAGGGGCAACAGTAGTATTATTCGCTGGGCGGCCGGCTGGGTGGAAAGCCAACAGAGTGTCAACAATAATATCTCAGGGCTTTCCGCGCATGGCAATTAATGCTCTTCATCCGTTGGTCCTCCGAGGATGTCAAACACTTCATCTCCGACGCATGGAGATATTTTATGACTTTTTATGAATAGTTGCATAACTTTGCATAACTAGTTGTGTTTTGTGCGTATCCACCGTATTGCTGACCCGCTAATTTGAGTATTAAATACCGTAATGGCCGTAACTTTAATACGTATTAGTCATCCATTTTTTAGCCTCAAGCGTGCAGGTTTTGGTTATTTTCGCTACAGAGCCAGTTTGGTTGACCAGGCAGCATTTGATATTAGCCAGAAATATACCCGACAAAAGGTTTCAGGGGACGGCTGTTTCCCTGTTTCCTAGCTCAACATGCCCGGAAATACAAGGCCAATTGAAAAGTTTGCACAGGCGGCTGCAAAATGCTCTGTCGAGGTGAGATCATGTCCTGGATGATAGCGTGAAAGCCCCGTGCTGACCATGTTGAGTCAGGCAACGGTGTATGGCAAGTGTATCCTGGCCGATTACACTGCTGTATCGAAGGATATGTGTGCTAAAGAGTTTATGAAGCTGAAGGATTGCTACCTGGTACGTGTTTGTTCCCCGGTTACATCGGGCTATGCTAATCGCTGATACAGGCCGCTGCAAAGAGACGATAAAGCCTCTAATTTCACGCCATCAGATTAAACCCAGCGGACTACAATAATAGTTCGAGAGCGAGTAGACCAGGAAAATACGTCTAATATTGTATCTAAACAGCCACACTATGGGGAAGCACAGTGCCTTTTTTTTATAGCTTAACAAGTCGAAGCAGGAACATAGCCTTTTGAACTTCTTGAACTTCCTCCATGATCACATCTTCTTCAGCATCAGGGATCTTCCCTTCGACCTCAGTAACGACGTGTTTATCCATGGGCCGTCGAAGTGCTTTTTCAAGAGCCTTGGCTTGTCTGTCGAACACCCCTTCAATTCCAATGTCATCAGGATCAGACAGAACACGATATTCCATCCCAACGTCATCCGTTACTTGCAGGCCAGCCTTCTTTCTGAGGCGCTGGACTCTGTTGACAATCTCTCGCGCAATCCCTTCGTCTGCAAGGTCTGGGTACAAGGCTGCATCCAAGATGGTAAGGACGTCGTCATCAGTGTTGGTTTCCAGTTCAGAGGAGCCTTCGTCTCGCTTTAATCCTCGCTTGACAACAAGGTCACCCGCTACTAGTTCGATGCCGTCGACTAGTATCTTCCCAGTCTCAACGTATTTCTTCACGTCGTCACTAGAGAGTGACGGCAGGGCTTTCTTAACTTTCTGCACGTCCTTCTTCAACTTCTTGCCGAGAACTGGCCAGTCAGCATCAACGCTATACTGGACGTTATATTTAGCTTCATCGGATGAGAGTATCAGGTCGCGGATGTTGAGCTCCTCCACAATGTATGACTCTAGTGAGCGGACGTCGTCGAGGTATTCTTGGTCCTTGTGAATAACAACAAGGGACTTCAGAGGACACTTCAAACCGATGGTGCGGCGCTCACGAGAAACTCTACCAAGCTCTATCACCTTCTGCATTCGCCCGACTTGTCTCTCAATTGTCTCATTGAATAGTTCCTCTCGAACTTCTGGGAAGGGAAGGAAGTGTACTGATCGACTATCTTCTCCTCGGAGCTTCTCAGGAATATGTGGTAGGAGGCGAAGATAGATGGTGTCGGTGATGAAAGGCGTGAAGGGGGCTAGTCCACGAACTAATGTGTAGAGGACTTCAAAAAGGGTATTGAGGGCATGCAGTGTATCGTCCAATCCAAGTTCACCCTTTAGGCGTCTTCGGTTGAATCGGATATACCAGTTAGTTGTGTTGTCAATGAGTTCGAGTAATCTTGGAACCACCGTGTAGAGTCGGTAACCGGCCATCTCCTCGTTTACAAACTTGAGCAAGCTTTGACAGCTGGCCAGGATCCAGCGATCCATGACGTTGGTGTTAGTGGACTCCGCTTTAGGATCAAACATGTAGTCAACATTTTCAACCTTCTTCAACAGTGCAACCTGGCCTTCAAAGAACTTGTAGCTGTTCCACAGTGGCAGGAGAACCTTGGAAACAATTTCCTTGACGCCCGACTCCTTGAACCTCAATGGCTCCGCGCGGACCACTGGCGAGTTGATGAGGTATAGTCGAAGTGGATCAGAGCCGTACCGATCCATCACTAAGCCTGGATCCGGGTAGTTCTTTAGACGCTTTGACATCTTCTTCCCATCCTCAGCGAGGACAATTCCATTGACAACACAGTTTTTGAATGGCAGCTTTCCGAAAAGGTGTACGCCCAAAACTGCAAGGGTATAGAACCATCCACGAGTCTGGTCAAGACCCTCGGCGATGAAGTCACCTGGGAACTTGTCCTCAAAACGCTCTTTGTCTTTAAACGGATAATGCTGTGAGGCATATGGCATGCTTCCGGACTCAAACCAGCAATCAAACACCTCCTCCACGCGACGGAGCACGCCCTTTCCTTTCTTACTAGGAATGGTGATGTGGTCAATCTTGTCACGATGGAGGTCGGTCAATTCACCAGTATAACCACTCAGCTCCTTTAGTTCCTGCACACTTCCGACAGCAACAATCTCTTCGAAATCCTCACTCGCCCAGAGCGGGATAGGTGTACCCCAATAACGATTTCGAGAAATATTCCAATCCCTTGCGTTTGCTATCCAGCTTGCAAAGCGTTTCTCCTTGACGAAAGACGGAACCCAGTATGACTGTTCAATAGACTCCAGCAAAGCGGGAATAACGGGTGTGACCTTGACAAACCAAGAAGGAACTGCTCTATAAATCAAAGGGGTATCAGATCTCCAGCAGAAAGGATAACTATGGGTAATCTGGCTATCAACAACAACTCGGCCTGTGCCTTTCAAGTGTTTGATAATCGCCTTGTCAGCCTCTTTGACATGCATGCCAGCAAAGTCCCTGACTTCTTTGGTGAATCGACCCCTTTCATCTACAGGGTTTGGAGGCAGCCTGTCCCCGCTAATGACGCCGGATTTCATAGCAACGTTGTAATCCTCTTCACCGAACGCGGGAGCCTGGTGGACGATTCCAACACCACTATCGGCGGTAACATAAGACGCAGTGAGTACGCGGAATCCGTGGTCCTTGAACTTGTCGTAGAAGTAGTCAAAGAGGGGCTCGTATTTCCATCCTTCCATATCAGAACCCTTGACACGTTCCAGTATCTTGAACTTTGCCTTCTTGGGGTTCTTGTAAAGTGTCCCCAGAAGAGCCTCCAAAATGTAATAGTTCTTGCCTGAGGCCTCATCGTGAATCTTGATATATTCAAAATCCGGATGAACTGCAAGCCCAACATGGGACGGAAGGGTCCACGGCGTGGTCGTCCAAGCCAGAAGGCAAGTCTGGGGGTCATCAAGGAGTGGGAATGAAACGACAACGGCCGGATCTTGAACGTCCTTGTAGTTTTGCTGAGCCTCGAAGTTACTCAACGGGGTGTTAAGTGCGGTCGAATAGGGCATGACTCTATATCCACGATATACAACGCCTTTGTCGAATAGCTGTTTCAATATCCACCAGATAGATTCCATAAAGGTGGTGTCCATCGTCTAGACAAGCAAACAAACCGTCAGTAAGGTCATTTTAGCCCACCATCATACCCATGGGAAGAGCGCTCCCACCTTATAATCATTATCAAAATCAATCCAACGGCCCAGCCTGTCAATGGTCTGCCTCCACTCCGTAGAAAACCTCATGACAATGGCCTTGCATTCAGCGTTGTAGGCCTCGAGGCCGATCTTCTCAACAGCCTCAGAGCCCGACATTCCCAGCATCTTGTCAATTTCATATTCGATCGGAACGCCGTGCGTATCCCAGCCAAATCTGCGCTCGACATGATAGCCCTTCATCGACCAGTATCGAGGAATAATGTCCTTTATGGTGGAAGCAAGCAAATGCCCGTAGTGGGGTAATCCAGTCGCAAATGGCGGGCCATCGTAGAAGGTGTACTCTTTTTTGCCCTTGGATAACTCGACCTGACGCTCAAAGGCCCCGATCTCCTTCCATCGTTTGAGGATGGCCTCCTCTTCCTTTGGAAAGTCGATAGACATGGCGTCGCGAAGATAGTGCTGTGACTCTGCTGCGTGTGAGATGTGTGTGGGGGGGCGAGCAGTCGCAGCTAGTTATTTAAGCCCTGCCGGAATTTGTGTGAGTCAGCGCGGCAAGTGGGAAATTCTGGCCCAAAGCCCCCTTTTCGCAGCAGGATTTTGAGCAGCCGCATTCACATTATTGGTGACTCATATATACAAAGGAACGACTCGGATGAAGAAAGGCAAACAGGCAATAGCTCTAGGAACAATGTTCAAGAAGAGATAGATGTCAATGGCTAAGAGTATATATGATTATTTCGTCACTCGTTCCGCAATAAGTCTGATTATCAGATGCACTACCATCAAGCTGGCAATCATTCCGCGTCCCCTTCATCTTCGTCCTCATCATCCTCGTCCTCATCTTCATATTCGTCAATGTCGGATACTTCTTCGCCTAGGGCTTCCAACCGTTTCTAAAACCGGTGTTAGCAACGTTCGATTAGAGAGAAGGATATTGGTTAGATAACCTACCTTGTCTGCTTTCCTCTTTGCTTCAAGGTCACTGAACACTATCAGCAGATCTTCTAATTCGTTCTGTGCTGATTTGCGAGCGGCTTCGCTCTCCTCACTGGCCTTTTGCAGCTTCTCGGCTCGTTCCCGAGCTTCCTTCAAGCTCTTCTCCAGCATCTTGTTATGTTCCTCCGCCTGCCGCGCCTTTTCCTCTGCTCGTTGGTTCTTCGCTTCTAGATTCGATAGATTTGTCGAGTACTCTTCATGGGCAGTCTGGAGGTCCAGGATGTGGTCCTTGTTAGCCTTATCAAGGCTCGCCTCTAGTTTCTGCACCATTTGCTTCAATTCTGTGACCTCGCTTTCATGCATGTCCCTAAGTTCAGTAGTTCGCCTTTCATGCTCACTAGCAGTTTGTTTTAGTTGGTTATCGAGAGCATGCAGTTGCTCACCATGGTTCCTGACAAGTTCACTCTTGGCCAACGTATGTTGCTCCTCCAATCTAGACAATTCGGCCTGGTGCGTCTTTTTCATTGACTCATTGGCCTGATTGAGCCTATGTAACTCATGGTTGGTAGAATCTTTGGTCCGTTTGTGGTCCATATGCTCCTGGTCTAGCTTACGCTGCAGATCCAACATCTCTGACTCCAGGTTCTGAATAGCCTGTGCTCGCTCTTCAGCCTGAGCTCTCAAGTTGTCCACTAGTTCGCGCGAGATCCCCTTAGGAATTCCATTTGCCAGTACAGGTACTTCCATTCCAGGATCGCGGTCAATAGCCCGAATGAGTCGGCTAAAATCGTCCTTTAGGAAATCCACAAAGGTTTTCTTAAAGAAGATGTCAGGAAGCCCAGAGTCATGTTGCCCCTGGACCGTTTGTGGTAGAACCTCAAAGTCCCGAACCAGTGGGTGCTCGCGAAGTTTTGTGATTTTGTCAATATATTGCTCTCTTCCAAGCCTGCTGATCAGCAATTGATGTAGGGTTGACCGGGGAATAGGGGAGTCCTTTGTTGAAAATTCGTATATAATCCCAAGAAGAACAGCACATAGCCCCGGAAGAAGTGACTCTGGGGAACCCTCCTGTTTGGCTTCTTGGATCAGGCTTTGGATACTGCTTCCCTCACCCAAGAAGTCGTTAACAACGTCTGGGTCTTCAAATAGCCAGCCACAGAGTAAGGTCAAGTATCCAACCGATATTCTCTCGTCATCATTGCGCTGGATACCGGTGATCAAATTACCAGCAATTGCCTGAACACACGTTACCACCTCTTCCCCACTTTCGGCATCGCCCTCAGTAACTTTCATTGCGGCAGCCTTAGCTTCAGAGTCTTCATATATTAGATGAAATAGCAGGACAGAGGCTAGCCATAGCTGGTAAGGATCTTTCGTAGTATCGAAATCCAATGGGCGGATAAGGATAGACAATATGTTTGGAATCTCATCGCCGCCACCTGTGTGGCCGCTTATTGCTCTGTTCAAAAAGTGAAGCTTGATTCCTGAATGATTCGTAAAGAAAGCCTGGATGCAGTCACAAGACGCGAGGCGAGCATCCAGCATGTTTATCGGGCCTTGTTGCAAGGTCAGGCGCAACAATGCTTCTAGAACGTTAAGCCTTTCGACACTCCGGGCTGGTGCATTTCCATTAACCAGCTTCTGATCCACCGGTGTAGAAGTTATGGTAACTTCCATATCTGAAAACTTTTCCTGGAGCGTTGCATTGGAACAGATCAAGTCCGAAGCTGCAAGGAGAGCCTTCGCTTGAATGTTAGCTAAACACATTTAAAAATCCTTAACTGGAAATGGGGAACTGACCTTTGATTTGAGAGAAACATCAAATTCTTCATTGAATGCAGCTCTAAGCAGTTGTTGCATGGCTCCACTCTGCCAGAAAGCCATCTGGTTTACTGGAGTGCTGATACCGCGCTTGACAAGAAATAGCTGGATAATAGCAAGGATTCCCCAGATATTTTTATTGCGTTGCTCCAGCATCCAGACTGGGAATTCTTCCTCAGGCTTACGATCCTTCATTGCATCTTCCAAAAGCAGGACAAGCTTCCTCACGCAACCTGTCTCCCGGAAAAAAGATTGGTTCGAGGGGTTCAATTGTAAAAGGTTGGCCAGCAAAGCCAGGCAATCCTCTAGTGTCCTAGATCCATGCTTCAGAGACCCCTCAGCTTCTATCAAGGAAAATATCCGCTCGAAAGCATTTTCAAAGGCCACAACTTTCTGCAACTCAGCAGAAGAAACTGTGAGTGCAATGAGAAGAAGAAGTGCCTCTACAGGAGGTAAAGGTTAGCAGTCCACAAATATCTTTGGGCTGATATTCTTATTCGTACCATTACGAGCCGGCTCTCTTGAGTCATCCAATACCGCAGCAATCCTAGATATGCCCAATGGTGCTGTCAATATACATTCCTGTGTTCTCTCCGGGCGAGCTGCCGAAATCTGAGATATCAACTGGAGGGAGTAGAGCCGGGAGTAAAATTCTTTGGTGTCTAGAAGGTCAAGGAGGATTGTGATATTATCTTGTCTCTGTCCATTGCCTTGTCAGCATCTTTATCTTCTGCCAAATTTGAGGAGCGACTTGCCTGAGTAAATTCGTCCGCTAGCCATAGTGCTAATTCATCTGATGCTTCCGGCTGTTAACATGAACAATTAGTTTCCCACTAAGTAATGCGAAGCAGGCAATGCAACCCACACTATTCTCCTCCGGAGAAAAAAGCATCAGCAGAGTCTCCAGGACCAGCTTGATAGTATCAACGTCCTCAACATCGTTGCGGAGAGAAGTGATCAGTGGCCTCAGGGCCTCGGATGCAACAGACGCAGGATATCCCTTGGCGAAGCTCCGGAGCCCAAGTATAGCTGCCCGGCGATCTTCCAGCAGCGTAGAGCTCTGCAGCCGACTGCTCAGCGTATTTATCGTGTCAGTCGCTGTCTGCCGCGCGGGAGCTTGGGATTCGAGGATGCGAAACATCGTGTGTTATGGAACCGAAACAGCACCATCACCGCCGGTCAATGGGGCCGCACATGCTCACGTAGGGACAAGGAAATGGTTGAAGTAAACTCGGAGCCGGCAGCAGCAAGTCCCACGCCCTCAAACGCTGGCTTTCTTCTATTCTCGCTGTCTCTGCGGTCAGTAACAATATCAATATCAACTTTCAAATCCGCTGCAAGTAGTTTATTTTGCTCCAGATACCTTAGGTAATGCAGATATCACGTGGCCTAGCTATTTTAACTATGTGGTCATAATTTAGGTTTCGGAAAAATATTCGATATTTTTTTGATCTTAAATCATTGAAAAAGCCGAAAGCGACGTCAAGAAGACGCAGAGGCAGAACAGAAGAGAGGCAAACCAAGAGTGCACACGCTTCGGAAAGCCTTATCATTGGTATCAGTCGTTTAGCGCAAAGGAAGCAAATTGCAGACAGAGACTGGGTTTTCTTTTCCCATCGTTACCGCCGGCATAGCTCCCGGCACGACGTCGCGATGGGTGTTCCAGCCCTCTTCCGATGGCTTTCGTCCAAGTACCCAAAGATTGTTTCCGCCGTCGTTGAAGAACAGCCGCAGGAGATAGACGGGCAGGAAATACCAGTCGATATCACCAAACCGAACCCAAATGGCGAGGAGATGGATAACCTGTATTTGGACATGAATGGTATCGTCCACCCATGTACGCATCCCGAGGGCAAGCCTCCACCGGCAAACGAGGGCGAGATGATGCTGGAAATCTTCAAATATACAGACAGGGTGGTGAACATGGTCCGGCCAAGAAAGGTGCTAATGATTGCTGTTGGTATGTCGGGCTTACGGCTGTGGGGAATCTAGAGGTCTCCCCTCGGACGGCTACATTATATATGCATGATGTGTTCATAGTCGCCAAGGGGAGTTACAGCCTTTCATTCTCTTTCCCCACTAGCATCTATTCGTTTTGTTATATGTTTGGTACTAATGTTGGGTTCTTTCACTTTAGATGGCGTCGCTCCGCGTGCAAAAATGAACCAGCAACGCTCCCGTCGATTCCGTTCTGCGCAAGATGCAAAGGCTGAAGATGAGAAGAAAGTGGAATTCGCAAAGTTGCTCAAGAAACAGAAACGTGGGAAGAAAGATGTAACAATTACTGAAGAGGTGATTACAAAAACCTGGGATACCAATGTCATCACTCCAGGAACACCATTTATGGATATCCTTGCACTTGCACTGCGATATTGGGTCGCGTATAAGCTAAGCACTGACCCTGGTTGGGAAAAGGTTAGTCGAGTCCATCATCATTGAACCTGCTTGGATGTGTACTAATTGCTCTTATTAGTTGAAAGTCATTATCTCCGATGCCACAGTCCCAGGGGAGGGAGAACACAAAATTATGGAGTTTATTCGTTCTCAGCGTGCTTGTCCGGAGTATGACCCCAATACTCGGCACGTCATTTACGGCTTGGTTAGTAACGAATACGTCTACACATCTAGCATAAGCAGTCGCTGACTAATTTTTAGGATGCCGATTTGATCATGTTGGGGCTAGGCACTCATGAGCCACACTTCCGAGTTTTGCGCGAAGATGTCTTTTTCCAGGAATCAAAAGCCAGAACTTGCAAACTATGTGGGCAAGCCGGCCATGTTGAAGAGGCCTGCACAGGAAAGGCGAAAGAAAAGCGAGGGGAGTTTGATGAAAAGCAAAAGGGAAACCCCCTGAAACCATTCATCTGGCTTCATGTTTCCGTACTTCGTGAATATCTGGCTGTAGAAATGCAGGTCCCTCAACAACCGTTTCCTTTTGATCTCGAGAGAGCTTTGGATGACTGGGTATTCATGTGTTTCTTCGTTGGTAACGACTTCTTACCTCATCTTCCGTCGTTGGAGATTCGTGAGAACGGCATAGATACACTCATTGCAATTTGGCGTGATAATATCCCACAAATGGGTGGCTATCTAACGAAGGATGGCCGGGTTGATTTGGCAAAGGCACAATTAATTTTACAGGGGCTAGCCAAACAGGAAGACGCAATCTTCCGCCGTCGGCGACAGACCGAGGAGAGAAGGAATGCAAATGCTAAACGACGCCAGGAGGAAGACCGTCAACGCAGGAACAATAACAACGACCATGCTCGAAAGAAGCGAAGAGGCTCCCGCGGTGCTGAACCAGTTCCAGATATTCCACCTCTCGTCGTACCTGGGAAAGGCGAATTATCGAGAGCTGAGAGAGAACTGACACACGCCATGGTTGTCAATCGCGGCGCAGTCTACAAGGCTAACATGGCAAACAAAAGCGCTGCCGCCGCTCTCAAGGCCCAGCTTTTATCCGGTGGCACAGCAGAAGACGGCGTTGATACTACAAATGCTCAGGACTCAGCACCTTCAGGGATGCCCAGCTCAAAACTTGGCAAACGCAAGTCGGACGTATTTGAAAACTCAAATACAGAAGCGGAAGCAGAAGAAGAGGATGAGGAAGAGGAAGACACAGTTGAGATTCCGGCAAAGCCCAAAGAAGATGAAATGCCCCCGGATACGGTGCGGCTGTGGGAAGATGGATATGCAGACCGGTACTACGAACAGAAATTCGGAGTAAGCCCCAAAGATATCGCTTTCCGACATAAGGTAGCTCGGGCATACGTTGAAGGACTGAGTTGGGTTCTTTTGTATTATTTCCAGGGATGTCCGTCCTGGACCTGGTACTACCCGTACCACTATGCCCCATTTGCCGCCGACTTTGTTGACATTGGCGAAATGGATGTGCAATTTACAAAAGGGACTCCTTTCAAGCCATTTGAACAGCTGATGGGTGTCTTACCTGCAGCTTCGAACCATGCTATTCCAGAGGTATTCCGGGACCTCATGTCTGATGAGAACAGCGAGATCATCGACTTTTACCCCGAAGATTTCCCCGTTGACCTGAACGGGAAAAAGTTTGCATGGCAGGGAGTTGCTCTGTTGCCGTTTATCGACGAGAAACGCCTGCTGGCCGCCATGGATAAGCGGTATCACCTGTTATCGGAGGAAGAGCAAGCCCGCAATGCCATGGGGAAGGATGTACTACTATTGTCGGAAAAACACCCTCTTTACGAATCTCTGACAGCCAATTTCTACTCCAAAAAGCAAGTGTCGTCGAAGCTCAAATTGAACATGCGTATCAGCGAGGGGCTGGGTGGGAAAGTCGAGAAGAATGAATCATACCTACCCCATAGTTCTCTATCCCTGGAGGTGGATGGCGCCGATATCCCTGCACTCGATGAAGATCGGTCAATAAGGTAAAAAACGTGGCCCCCGGTTACATTAATATGTATTATGTATATATTTGTCTGTCTGCTAACACATTGCGACACAAACAGTGTTTACTATGAAATGCCCAGGTCCATGCATACCCATAAATCCATGCTGCTTCGGGGTGTCAAGTTCAAGGAGCCAGCTCTTGACAAGGCAGATCTAGAGATCACCAGAAACAAAGCTCGACACTCTGGGCGGTCATTCGGAGGAGCACCACTCCATTCTAGCCGCGGTGGTAGAGGCAGGGGAGGCGGAAGAGGTGGAGGCCAGATATCCTACGCCAGCAACGACCGCCCCAACCCCTTTGCTGCACACGTAGCCCCAGGCTATATTCCCCCACCGCACATGGGCGGAGGGCCACCTGGGTACAATCCTGCGCCCCCAAATATGTACAACGGCCCTGATCGATACCGGTCTCAGGGAGGGTACCCTCGGGGAGGCGGCGGCGGCGGCGGCGGCGGATACGGCGGAGGCTATGGGGGCCATTACCAGCAACCACCTCCACATAGCTGGGCCCAACACGACGGCCCAGCTTACAGTCACCCCTCTCGCAACCCCTACCAGGACCGCGCTCACTACCAGCGCGGCGGAAGCAGCGGGTACGGGCGTGGCGGAGGAGGAGGAGGATCCTATGATGGCAGGGGAGGAGGAGGCTACTACGGCTCCAGGGGATCCGGTCGTGGTCGAGGTCGAGGTGACGGGTATGGCAGGTACTAAGCAAGCGCTGAACTCGCTTAGTCTACGTATAGCTGTACGAATATAGAACGCTCCCACCATCTATCTCCTTTTTCTTTTCTTTTTTTTTTCTTTTTATATCCTATCCCCATCGCGGCCATTTCGTGTTAGTTATCTTCTCTAGGTCGATATTATTTATTATTAGAAAAACGACCAAGACCGGACCGAAGGCGGTGAATGAACTAGTTAGGTGGCAGAAACCCTCTTTCGACTTCATCAACTGGAAAAAAAAGTAACGACGTCGACTTTTTCTTTTGCTTGTGAATTTGCTGTATTTTGAGACTATCTGGAGAAATCAAATATCACGCCTGCGGCGGCTGTTTCGTCGCTGTTTCCGTTGAATTATTATATTGCGAGAGGTCGAGGTCCTCCGATCGTCGGGGCTGGCCAGATATTACTCATAGCTCAGGGAGCTTAAGTTTCTTTAGCTTGCGCTCAATTTTCGGTCTTCTCTCCTCCTCTCTGGCTACCATCTCAATTGAAGCCGGCTGCGACTCTGAGGACGGTGCTAAGCTGACTGCTTACGGGCCTGGAATGAATTAAGCCGCGACGTTGGACTCGTTTTACCGTTGTTGACTACCAGCACAAGGACCGGCTGAGAGAGCTTGCCCCTCCCCTGCTCTATAGCTCCCCACACAGGCCTCAGAACCGTCGGGTGCTTCACCATGGAGCCAACAACAATTCAGATCCTAGGGCGTGACAGCATAGTCGCGGATTTTGGCATTTGGAGGCGCCATGTTGCGAAAGATCTTCTTCAGACGCTCTCCTCGTCGACGTATATCCTCATCTCTGATACGAACATAGCCCCCTTGTACGTTCCGGAATTTGAAAAGGCATTCGAAGAAGCCGCAGCCGAAAAATCCCCGAAACCCCGGCTGCTTACTTACAAGTTCGCGCCAGGAGAGTCGTCAAAGGGCCGTGAAACAAAGGCAGAAATCGAGGACTGGATGCTGAGTTGCCAGCCGCCATGTGGTCGGGACACAGTGCTAATTGCTCTCGGAGGTGGGGTGATTGGAGACCTTTCAGGTTTCGTTGCTGCAACTTATATGCGTGGCATCCGGTTCGTACAAGTGCCGACTACGTTACTGGCCATGGTGGACTCCTCAATCGGAGGTAAAACTGCTATTGATACCCCGAATGGAAAGAATTTGATAGGCTCCATATGGCAGCCAGAGAAAATATACTTGGATATGGAATTTTTGAACACACTACCACAACGGGAATTTACGAATGGAATGGCAGAAGTCATCAAGGTGAGTAGTTAGCTTGCTCCAGCCTCCTCACCCTTGAAAACCCAATTTTGCTTACACTACCCTAAGACTGCCGCGATTTCAAGTGAAGCGACATTTGCGGAACTCGAGGAAAACGCAGACGCCATTGCCGCAGCACTCAAAATTGAAAATACCCCAGAACGCTCTCGTTTCAGTGGTATCCAGGACATCCTCAAGAGAACCATTTTAGCTTCAGCGCGATTCAAGGCTGATGTAGTATCCAAAGATGAAAGAGAAGGCGGACTACGGAATCTCCTTAACTTTGGCCATTCTATCGGCCACGCCATCGAGGCAATCCTCGCCCCACAAGTTCTTCACGGAGAATGCGTTTCCATAGGAATGATCAAGGAAGTGGAACTCGCTCGCTATCTGGGAGTTCTTAAAGGTGCCGCCGTGGCTCGTCTTGCCAAATGTCTGACGCGATATGGACTGCCTACATCTCTCAAGGATGCCCGAATTAGACGTCTAAGTGCAGGGAAGAAATGCCCTGTTGACAAGCTCATTGCCTTCATGGCTGTCGATAAAAAGAACGATGGGCCGATGAAGAAGGTTGTTCTCCTTTCCGCCATTGGCCGTACCTACGAACAGAAGGCAAGTGTTGTGTCCAACGAACAGCTCAAAGTCGTTCTAGCACCCAGTATCGAAGTTTACCCCGGAATCCCAAAATCACTCCAGGTTACTTGTACTCCCCCTGGATCCAAGAGTATTTCCAACAGAGCGCTTGTTTTAGCTGCTCTTGGCTCTGGAACCTGCCGCATTAGAAACCTTCTACACTCCGACGACACAGAAGTTATGCTTAATGCTCTAGAAGCACTAGGTGCTGCCACCTTTTCATGGGAGGAAGAGGGTGAGGTTCTCGTTGTCAATGGAAAGGGTGGTAAGCTAGATGCCAGTTCCCACGAGTTATACTTGGGCAATGCTGGCACAGCATCAAGATTCTTGACTACCGTCGCAACCCTCTCCAATACCAAGGCAGATGTCTCCCACAACATCCTAACAGGCAATGCCAGGATGAAGCAGCGCCCGATTGGCGATTTGGTTGATGCTCTCAAAGCTAACGGGGTACCCATCGAATACATCGAACAGCAAGGAAGCCTTCCCCTCAAGGTTCCTGCATGCGGCGGCTTCAAGGGTGGAGAGATAGAACTCGCCGCTAAGGTATCATCTCAGTATGTCTCTTCTTTACTGATGTGTGCACCGTACGCCAAGGAAAAGGTCACCCTCAAGCTTGTTGGAGGAAGACCTATTTCTGAGACCTATATCTCCATGACGGCTGCTATGATGAAATCCTTTGGAATCAATGTTGAGAAGTCCACGACCGAAGAATATACCTATCACATTGAGCAAGGCCAATACAAGAATCCACCCGAATATGTTATCGAGAGTGATGCTAGCTCGGCAACATATCCTCTCGCCATCGCTGCCATGTCTGGAACCACTTGTACTATTCCTAACATTGGATCGAAATCACTTCAGGGTGATGCTCGTTTTGCCGTTGATGTATTGCGTCCCATGGGCTGTGATGTTAAGCAGACTGACACTTCCACCACCGTTACCGGACCTACAGACGGAGCCTTGAAGCCCATCGCTAACGTTGACATGGAACCAATGACCGATGCTTTTTTAACAGCTTCCGTCCTTGCAGCCGTTGCCAGAGACAAGTCCAGCAATACCACCCGTATCTATGGCATAGCAAATCAGCGGGTTAAGGAGTGCAACCGCATCAAGGCAATGAAGGACGAACTTGCCAAGTTCGGGGTTACTTGCAGAGAACACGAAGATGGTATTGAAATTGATGGTATTGACCGTATGGCATTGAAGGTACCGATCAATGGAGTCCATTGTTACGATGATCATCGTGTTGCTATGAGCTTCAGTGTACTAGCGTCGGCCGCCTCTTCCCAACCTACCCTGATTTTAGAAAAGGAATGTGTAGGAAAAACTTGGCCCGCATGGTGGGATACTTTGTCTCAAACATTCAAAGTGACGCTGGACGGCAAGGAGCTAAGCAAAGGAAATGTTGAAAATCGGAAATCCTCGAGGTCTGCTGCATCTATATTCCTCATTGGCATGCGTGGTGCAGGTAAGACCACTAGTGGATATAGTATCTCCAAGGCCCTTAATCGCACCTTCATCGACCTTGACACCGAGCTAGAGAGGATTGAAGGAAAAAATATTCCGGATATCATCAAGGAAAAAGGATGGGAAGGGTTCCGAGACTGTGAACTCGCTTTGCTTAAGCATGTCATAGCTGAGAAACCAGTTGGACACGTCTTTGCTTGTGGCGGCGGCATTGTTGAAACTAAAGAAGCGCGCGACCTCTTGATCAATTATCATAAAACCAAAGGCAACGTCTTCCTTATCATGCGCAACATCAAGAAGGTTATTGAATATCTTGAGATGGACAAGTCTCGCCCTGCTTACATTGAAGACATGATGGGCGTATGGCTTCGTCGAGAACCCTGGTATCAGGAATGCAGCAATCTTCAGTATTATAGCCATCACTCAAAGCCAAGCGAGCTGGATGCGGCAATGCAAGGTTTCACAAGATTTCTCAATGTGGTCATGGGCCAAACAGATCACCTTGAGCTGTTGAAAAAGCGGAGTCATTCCTTTTTTGTGTCCCTAACCCTTCCGGACCTTCTACCGTGTGGAAATATCCTCCAAGCAGCCTCCTTCGGATCTCATGCCGTCGAATTAAGAGTTGATCTACTCAAAGACCCTTCTTCAACTTCAGCTATCCCCTCTATCAGCTATGTTGCAGAGCAAATATCCTTCCTCCGAAGCCAGGTGTCTCTACCACTCATCTTCACTATTCGCACCAAGGCACAGGGAGGATTGTTCCCTGACAATGCCGTTGATGAGGCATTGGGGTTATATAAGCTCGCCATTCGTATGGGATCTGAATTTGTCGACCTAGAAATATCATTCCCAGATAACCTGCTGCACGCAGTGACTGAGATAAAAGGATTTTCTAAAATCATTGCATCCCACCACGATGTCAATGGACAGCTCTCGTGGTCTAACGGATCCTGGATTCAATACTACAACAAAGCTTTACAATATGGTGACGTTATCAAACTCATTGGCGTTGCTAAATCTCTTGACGATAACCTGACCCTACAGCAATTCAAAGCTTGGGCAGAGAGGTCCTACCCCATCCCAATAATTGCTATCAATATGGGCAATAAAGGGCGCCTCAGCCGTATACTGAATGGGTTCATGACTCCAGTTTCACATCCTGCTCTTCCCTTTAAGGCCGCACCAGGACAGCTCTCCGCGAAGGAAATTCGACAAGCTCTCACACTCATGGGTGAACTGGATGCTAAGGAGTTTGCTCTCTTTGGGAAACCCATCTCCGCTTCAAGATCTCCTGCTTTGCACAACACACTCTTTGCCGAGGCCGGCTTCCCACATGAATATGGCCGTTTAGAGACAGACAACGTCGAAGATGTCAAGGAATTCATCTACTCGGAAGAGTTTGGCGGTGCTTCAGTGACTATTCCACTCAAGGAGCGCATCATGGAACTACTTGATGAAATTTCCCCTGAGGCCAAGATCATAGGTGCCGTAAATACCATTGTTCCTATCATTGAAGAGGGCAAAGCAACTCGGAAGTTAGTTGGATATAATACCGACTGGCAAGGTATGGCCCGATGCTTAAAGGATGCTGGGGCAATATATTTGAAAAACGGAGAATCTGCCCTTACC